CCCATGTCATGGAACAGCTAATTTTTACTCTTTTATATAAAAGAGTTTTCTGTAACATGTTACACTGTTGACATCTCAAAACATACCATTCATTCTCCAGTCCCATGGTCCATATATGGAAATGAAGCAACAAAATCACTTAATTTTTAATCAATTGGTTTTGATAATGTCACATTTACATATGCAATCATATGCAAAAGTTTGAACGCTGTCAGATTATGTTGTTGATTTTGTTTTGTTTGTGACAAAGGAACATATTCTCTACATATCACACAGTGAAATATTGCATTTTTCTGCAAATTTAGTGTACAATTTCTGTACATTTGCTGATTGTAACATTTTTTAGAAGTAGAGCATAAAGAATAAAATGTGCCATAACTTTTGCACAGGCCACATTTTATGTTTTATTTTTTCAAAACTGTTAAATTCACACAATAAACAATAATGCTGCATTAAACTGTGCACAACTGTGTTATTTGTGGAGGATTTGTACTTATTTTTACTTCAAAATCAAACATGTGATTTGACTGGGGCAACCAAACATTTGTGTGCAACTTTATCCTGCCTTATTCTGCCTATATCAGATTAGCGCCACCCATTTATGTTGAATTTAAATGGATTGTAGAAGCCCAGGGCAGCCAATCAGAACAGGGGGTCATTTACATCTCTTAAAAGGCAGTAACAAAAATAGCCTATTTAGTTTGAGTGGATAAAGACAGGTTGGAAATGGTCATGTGAAAAAATACAGCTGTTCTTGGTGCATAAAACTACACCAACATTATAAGTAAAAATACAAAATAATGTAGCATATGAGCCCTTTAATTTAGGATATGGGCTGTTTAAGAGTGTAAGTGTAAACATTCACTATAGAAAGTACAAATTGACAATGTGTGCCATGTTAAAAAGCAAAAGTGTGTTGATATTTTCTGCATGTAAAATACACATGAGGAGGCAGGATCAACACACAGAGACCTCAAAGGAAACATGCATAAATAAATGTATAATATTCACACATACACATAGATGTAAACATATAGAGAGAGACCCCCTACACATATGCATGCTTAGTGGCCGTGCTGAATGGCCTGTGCCTTTACCCCAGTTAAAGTCCCACGCTAGGCCTAGGCTCATTATGTCAGCAGCAGGAACATGAGATTTCTCTCTTTTCCCCCTCAAGTCAAACATGAATTATTTAGCTCTGTGGTGATCACGAGTCTCTGTTCCCACATCCCCTTCCTGTCTTCCTACTGTGCATCTCTTCTTCGCACTGCACTTTTTGCTATCGCAATGTAAACCCTCTCACGTAAGCCTGTGTTGTTGGATTACAGTAAGATGCCGTGCTGCTTTAAGGTTTTAGGTGGAGATCACAGTGCTGTGTGTGTACTGTGTTGGGGATATGTGGAGGTTCTTGATTCAACATGTGCTGCTGGAGGAAGGCTTCTGCAACCACCAATTAGGCAATCTCTATCTCTCTCTCTCTCTCTCTCTCTCTCTCTCTCTCTCTCTCTCTCTCTCTCTCTCTCTCTCTCTCTCTCTCTCTCTTCTCTCTCTCTCTCTCTCTCTCTCTCTCTCTCTCTCAGCTTACATACACACCCTCCCTCTCAGCAGTGGTCCTACACATTTTTACTGGGGGTAAAACAATCTCATCCTAGTATGGTGGCCTTTTTTTAAAGATCTGGAGCTGATATAGTCTTCATAACTTAAATTCTTATGGTTTTATTTGACAGTGCATTTTGAATGTTAGTAGCCTGCTGCAGACTAAGGTTTGAACATGGCATTTTGATGAACCTACACTGCTAATGCTTGCATTTAGTACTATCAACAAGGCTATACTAACTATAACTATACTTAACGCTAATGCTAAACTATTGCCTTAATACTGTATTTATGGTGCTGTATTATACTCCTATTATACTTGATTAAAACTGATTTTTAATTTACATTCTTGATAAATCCACTTAGTAATTAGTGTGCACTTTGAATGATATGGGATATATGCCAGTCATTAGCTGTGTTTAGCAAGATGAAGACCACAAAGGGGGGCTATTAGCGCTCAAGTTGCTTTTGTGAGTTTCATTGAAAGAGAGGAAACCCACACCAGCAGGATCTCACAAATGCCTGTATGTTTATAGTTAAAAGTTGCATGTATATTAAGTAAAAAGATTTGATGTTACAAATTTCGTGGATATGAGGTAAAAGTGTATATTAAGTAAAAGGATTTGTTTAACTAGGTCTAGGCTGAACAATGTGGCAGACAGCAAACATGCTAACAGACTACTCTGTAATATGAATTTAGACTTTACAGAAGATAATAATTACCCATTTCATCAGCAAAATAGGCACTTGATTACTTGACTGGTCACATAATTGATGATGACAGCCCTAAAAAATTTCACCTCTATGTAATATTCCCATTCTCCTGGTTTATAATAATCCACAATACTTGTGTAGTGTCCTGTAAATAAAAATTCTGTAGTATTACAATATACCCTTTTTCCTTTTTTAAGGTTTGTCCTGTGTCAAGGCATATATGTTTTGGGGTTCCATAATTAGTTTTTCATATTTAAAGTATTACCTTTTTATGCATTTTATGCAAATGTGATTTAATGAATTAGTCATGAAGTAATATATTCTTTTTTACCAGTTTCTGTGGGCATGGCGATCATATGTTGTAAACTCATATGCACATACTTGCAGCTCAATGCTTAACAAAGCCCACAGTTCAATTGAAGCATTTTTCATGGTTCTTTTTTGAAGTCTCATTCAGACGAATGACGACTGCATCATCCATCTCCGAGATGTTTTGTCTGTCGTCATTGATCCTGTAATCACACTCTGCAATTATTGCCGTACAGTGGGGCTATTCTCCACCAGCACGTGCGCATAAATAATTCACCATGCCAATGTTTTGTTGGAGCTCCACAACATCACTGCACACATTAGAGAATGAGTCATCATGGAGAGAAACTAACTGTCTTTGCCCCATTTTCAGCATTGTTCTGCCTATCCGATTAGGAGCTGAATTCTTACTCAACTGAGGATCAGCATATAGTTTACTACTGGTTTATCAATTATTCATGCATTGGTAGTGAGCTATTTGTAAGCGTTCAAAAGCAGATGTGGGTTTAGAGTGTCATTTAGTCTGTTTAGAGAAGCACTGTTATTGTTTTCATGCTAAAAGGCCATTTTTGCATTGTTAATTTATGTCAATGAATGAATGATGACACTAATGAAGTATGCATAATTGAAGTAGTGCAGGTTTTAAAGACTTATTTTAAGCTGGCTGTGAGCCATCAATGTCAAAGCAGTCTTTTAGCCATATGCCGACTTTAACTATATGCTGCGTCATTATGTTGAGAAGATTGTTTGAATTCATTAGGCTTTATTTGGCCTTGATATATTATTGGTGCTGACTATAGTTCTGAATACTGTGTTTATATGTTTTTATAGTTTATAAGTTCCAGAATATTCCACTGCATGCATATTTATAAGCAACAGAGTGATGAGTGTAGGTCAGTCAAAAGAGAAAAATACATCTCATTACTGTGACATAACTGTGGCCTTTGTTGCCTGTTGACGCTGAGGAGGTCTGTATTATTCATTCTGCTAAGGCTTAGGGCCTAATGCAGTACTACTGGCTCTCCACATACACCTGTATCCATCACATAGCAAGGTCTTTCACTAAGGGTGGACTCATTAGTGACTTACCTACTAGGATCTTTTTGACCCCTAAGGCCCAGAGCATTTAAGCATGTGGCTCTTTAGCCTCTCATGAGGTAAGAGGGTGTCATGAGCTATTGGTTATTCTTCCCAGCAAAGAAATTGGTTTTCTCTGGCCTACATCCTGGGTTATTGGTTTTATCTCATTACTGAAAAGGTTTTTTTTTTCAGAGTGCAGGAGAGCGCAGGTGGAATATTGTGGCGTTTGATGGATTTTGTCAGGCGTTTAAAAGGTAGGACTCCTTGTTCTGAAGGTTTGCCTGCAGGTGAAGTAGTATCAGCAAGTTCTAGCCATCTTGTGTTCCACACTGATGGCTAAATTTAATACGGTTTCACTGTGGAACTGAGAAGAGATAGTCCCATTGGTAGACAGGTAGCAATTTCTGACACTTACATCACTTACATTATGGTTATTTAGTTTTCTAGAAGAACAAAATTGGCTTGAATTTGAAACACGCTGCCTGCCACATGTTGAAAAGATTTCATTACTATAACCCTGTTGCAGTATTGCCACCTGCAAAAGGAGGCTACAGGTGTGTGTGTGTGTGTGTGTGTGGTGGGGGAGGATTGGTCAAGCTTGTGCTATTGTGGTATGAGTGCACACAGTGTTGCCAACAACTAATGAATTTATGGAGCAGGCCGGGTTTAGTAAAACAGTAGTAAAACAGCTAAAGTTGTTTCATTAAGATGATCCCTTAAGTGGTTAGACTTCCCTCACATACGGAAATGAAACTAATGTGTTACATGAATTAGCGTAAACGGTTTATAGCAGATTTCTCTTGATAATCGTCATTATTTAATATGTAGCTTAATTGTTCATATTTTTGTGCTACTTCTTGCAATTAAGCTATGTTAACAAAATAAGACTAAAGAAACACCTTTTAACAGATTTTAAGTGTTTTTAAAGCAAGTGCATCCGTAATGTGTATGACAGACTTATTGAAATAATGTAAACAAAAAAGGCGGGGAATCTAAGCTCTCTTTTTGCAAATCACTTATCATTAGGTGTCCCATTAGACTTTTCTTAAGGGGAAAAAATTATTTAGGATGTTTCATGCAAGTGGGCCCATAAAGTTGAGTAGACTTTTGTTATCATATGTCTTCACCAGCAGTAGAGTGCGTCAGGGAAAGTGTGGTAAAGCTCAGTTCCTGGTGAACTGCCATCTGGCCATTCTCTCCTGTGCTTCCCCTCTCAGCTTGTTTCCTTTCTCCACCATCACTGTGAACTTTCTCTGTTTAGTCTGATGGATTACTGCTTGTCTTTTGTTTGCTCTCCACAGCCGTGCCCTTCCCTCTGAGCCACCGCCTCACCATGAAGGAGGTGTTTGACTGCGAGGGCAAGCCACGGGTGGATCTGCTTAAAGCCCACCTAACCAAAGAGGGCCGAGTGGAGGAGGCAGTGGCCCTGCGCATCATCAACGAGGGCGCTGCCATCTTACGCCAGGAGAAGACCATGCTGGACATTGAGGCACCTGTCACAGGTGAGCAAGCTCAGGTTTCTAAATGAATCACAGTGTTTCTAATTGGGGGTACAGTGCTATTGAGTTGGTGGCAGTAATGACGTCTGATGGTCAGCAATGGTCTTATCGTCTTGCATCCCTAAAATGACAACAGCTGCTTAAATTATATTACTGTTTATTGTGAGAAAACTGGCAGAAGTGACTGTTGTCATGGTTTGTTCAGTCTACTGCTGACATCATATAACACTGTGGTATACTACCACCACTGTTTATGTTGGTATTGCATCTCACAGACGTGTTGTACTAATTTCTGAGGACTCGCACAACCAACAATCCAAGCAAATGATATGCATAGCAGCCATGCACCTCATTTGCATGCGCATAGACAAAATCAAGTATACATGGCCCTTAGAGCACATCTAGGTGCTGGTACTGGAACTCCTGTCCTGAAAAATTGCCTCTTAATTGCGATGAAGATGTTCAGTTTTTGCTGATGTTTGGTTAGACCCACAAATAGAAGCAACCTTCAACATGGTAATAAGCATGCTACTGAGAGGAGGGGGCTTGTTATGGCAGTCTGTGAGATTATAAACTGTATATTGTCTGCGACCTGACCAAATTCAGAGTGAAATTACAGAAAATCATGAAAGGTGAAATGTGAATCTGTTGGTTGCATTTCATAGGAACTCATTGATCATTCTGTTGCATCAAGCAGTGTTCTGCACTTTTTGTTGCACCTTTTATCATAATACTTGTCATTCGTGCACCTACACCATTAGTGCAAATAAACATGTTTGTGAAGTCGTGGTTGTTTATGAACAAGCTAGACTCCAGGCCTTGTGGATGTAATTTCAGTGTCAGGCAAAGAGTGTCTTCCTTGCAAAAGCATCGATATGTCAGGATTCTATATATTAGCTCAGTGGTTCTCAGTCTTTCAGCCTCTTTCCTGCAGACCCCACACATTTTCTGCTGTAACACACCATATTCAACTCATCAGGTAAACGTCAATCCTTTCATTAGCATTCATTTTTTCATTAATTAATTACTCTGATTTTTTTCATTAATTAATTCCACTGAATTTTTAAACATTCTGTATGCGTTTTTTACTTTCAGTATTCAGTTATTTAGATGTAAACAAAGTCATTGAGAGTGGTATGGTGTGAAATGGTGCATTATTGAGAAAACCAGATTTCTTTACAATGGAGAAACCAGTGGTTCAGACTTAGCCATTTTACTGACCATCCAAATTGGCCAGTGAACATGCACAGGTCTTCTCAGTTTTTAACACTTAAATCAGTTGACTTTACTTTAAAAAAATCATGCAGACTTATTGCCTTGAAAAAGTTAAGTTACTTAACACATTCGACTGTGTATATGAGTTATAGTTACTTTCTGCAGCTAGTAAGGTAACTCAAACAGCCCAGTACTTATAAGTGGTGTCAGTTGAGCTCTGCTTTTTCTTGAATTAGTTAGGTTAACTCAACTCAAATATTCTTCCTTGTGTAATGTGTTGGCATCAGTTAAAACATCTCCATTATATCAAATGGGCTGTTTCATACAGTAACAAATAAATGGCTTGTGAAAGGTTAGAGTCACCCATCTCTAAGGACTTTAATAGCTTACTACATATTTGCATTCATGGCTCTTGGCTGTACTAGTAAACCTGAACACAAAGCACAAAACACTGTCATGGTGAGAATAACTAAAACATGTAAACTGCACTCATATTTAACATGAGACCATGCTATTATGCAAACAGAATTACATTTATAAATTAGAAAAATAAAAGTTATTTAATAGAAACCAACAAAACCACCAAGAATGCTGGGAAGCTTTTTGTGCAAAAGACTCTACAGTCTGTATCTTAACTACAGTTATCTTATATACATTTACCTTATACATGTAACTAAGGATTATACAAGAAATAGTAAGTATTACTAGATTTAAGTAATTTTAACAAATAAGTAAAGTAAACCAAAAAAACCAAACAACAACAAAAAAAATATATATGTTTTCATGGGTACTATTTTGCCTTATAGCACTCTTAATGTACCTCTGTGCCGTAAATAGGTAAAAAAAAAATATGTTTTAGGCCAAAACTTTATCTCAAAACACCATTTGTAGTTTATTAGAGCAGAGAGGGCACGTGTCCAGTGCACTGGGTTAGCAGGACTCAGCTACTGGCCTACATATTACAATGGCCTCTATATATGTACGTGTGTGTTTGTGGATTGCGTGCATGCTGTGCATTTGTGTATAATTCTTCTGCCAAAGGATGTTTTTTTCTCTGAGTAGTGCCTTTCTAAGGAACTCATTGCAGGCGGCACGTCACTGTACAGTTCTTAACTGACACACACAGCTTTCATGTCCTTTAACTGAATTCATGCCAAAACTGGCTCTGACACGTACAGCACATGGGAGTACAGAACAGTAAGGCAGAGAGAAATAGGCTGACAGAAAGTGTGCCCAATCCTGACCTGAAAGGCAAAAATAAACTCCAAAGCACCTGAATGAAAGTTTTCAAAAAATGAGAGAGAGGCGGAAGATGAAAACAAAAGGCAGCAAAGCGAACGAGCTTCAGAAGAGCCTTGGCGTGCAGTTTGAAGGTAGCTGTCACTTTGAAGTCTCATTGCTGGATTCAGGGCGATTCTCAGGCATATTAGTTTCCTCTGTCTCTCTCTGCTGTGTGCTCATCATTTTAGAATGGGGGGTGGGGTTGGGGAGCTAAAGTGAATATGACATACAAGCAGTCCATATCACTGGCAAAGCTGTTTTTTTCTGCAAGTGGTTTCTCTCTGAGGAACTTGCAGGTGAAATGTCAGCGTACTCATCCCTATTCTCAGTTTCTCCGTTCATAGCTGGTGAACCGTAGCTGGCGTAGCGTGGCGTAAATGATATCCACTCTCAGTTTCAGGAGGATGTCACAGGCTCTGGCTGTGAGTGATTTCTGCTGTCTCATCTGTGCACAGACAGCTCTCGATCTGGAAGTGATGGTTCAGCCAAAAATCAGTTTTACATTATTTACCAAAACTGCAGAGACATGCTTCTTTGTTTTTGCTATGAAGCTACAAGGCTAGTGTAGCTAACAAGTAAGATGTACAGTAATTAACCTAGCACTGTGGAAACTGCATGCACTGCTTTCCTTAAACAGTGTTGAGTTCTTAAGTATCTTAATCAGACCTGTTTATGTGGTTTGTAACACTCTGTGATATTCTCTTGTCTGTATAAACTGACAAAATTACAGACAGACTTCAGGCTTCAAAATGGCTGCTATTACTGTTTTTAGCTATACAACATACTTTTGTGTATTTTTATAAATAACAGTATGTTATACAGCATCACAAACCACACATTAGACTTCAGATTATTAATAACTCAGTATGGTTAGAGTCAAATATGTGATCATTTGATGCTAATTAGTAAAGTGTAAGCATCCATTACTAGCTAGCTATATTAGGCCAGATTTTGTGTGCTACGCCAAATCACAAAATCCATGTCACAGCACTATTCATAAAGTCACGATGGCAGTGATTAGCACACCGGTGTCTTTTTAATACTGAGGTATTTTCACCAGTGTCCTAGGCAAGAGACAATCACAATTCACATGTAAATGAAGTCATATATATTAATGACCCACGCCAAGTGGAGCTCCGGCTAGCTGCCAAAAATGGTTGAAAGAAATGAAAAGAAAGAAAATTCTCAGAAACAGAGCTACAAGCTTTTTTAAGGGAATTAATTGCTGGCAAATCTTAGTAACTTGTTTGGTAAAGAGGTTTTTAACTTTTAATTAAGAAACAATATTTTTCAAGTAGGATTTTAGCATGTAAAAATTCATTTTTCATTGATAAGAATTCAAGCCTTTTTACAATCCATTAAAATTACAGTAATGTTTTTCCTCAAATAAGTTTAAATGTGGTATTTTTTCCCCACACACTTATAAATTTAATAGACATGCTGAAATTACTATGACAAATCAAGCTGTTTTAGCTTTTATTTCCTATTTTTCTTGATCTCAGTTTATTTCAGTTTACACATGTGAAAATTACATTTCAACTGGTAAATATAAAATTTTGACTATTAAAAATTAAGTTTTTATTTGTCAGAAATGAATTTTGACTAGTAAAAATTTCATTTTCACGTCTATATTGAATTCCTTTGTAAAATCAATTGTAAATTGAAAAAATATTATTAAAAGCCAGCACTGCAATAAAATCAATACAAACATAACAGAAAATTGTATGCATTTATTTACATGACTTGCTTTGCAAATCAGTCCATAATGGAATGGTAAAGAAACGTGAAGACTGCATAGTTATTTCCTGCAGTCGCTGGATAAATTTAGTAGGATTGTTCCGTGCTTGGATACATGACTAACGCAGTACTGTGTTGCAGGTGGGAGATACGCACAGGTGCTGTTGTGAACAAGGTTTCTGGTATTTAAATAAGTACACACTGAACACTGTGCGCTAATCAAGCAATCGGCAATCACCTCAGCAATGAAGCAGTAGGTTCCTAGATCATAAACAATAGGACATCAACTGTAACCTGCAGGTAGCCATACAGCTGCGTTTCTGATAGCAGCAAAGCAGCATCAGCCGCTTTAGTCACAATCTGACTGGAACAGTGCACTTCTGCTGGCCCTTCAGGTTTCTCTGCTTGCTGACTTTTTTCTAGTGTGGCTGTTTAAATCCATCAGTAAATCAGAAGAGCAAAAAGAGAGAGAGAGAGAGAGAGAGAGAGAGAGAGAGAGAGAGAAAGCGAGGAGAAGAAGAAGAAAGAGAGGGAAAGAGGAGATCTGATGGTGCAGAACACACCTACACCTCTGAGTCATCTTCTCCTCACAGCCCAGCTCTCTCTCTCTATTTCTCTCTCTATCCATCTTTCTCTCTCTCTCGCTCTCTGCCTGCACCCTGTGTGCCTGAAGTGGGCGGCGTGTGAGAGCAAAATTCCCCCCTCATTCGCTGTTGCACACACATGAACATCACAAGAGACGGCTGGTATTTCCATCATTTCGAGCTTGC